TCTCTTATCCCCTTTTATTTCTTGTTTGTTTTTTTTATGTATTCTTCTATGTCTTTGTGTTTCTTTATAAAATTTTTTCTTTTTCTTTCACTTTCCTATGCGAAAATACCATCAGATTAGCGGTATTCTATTGTAGGATGGTGGTCGGATAAGCCTCTGGTAGTATTCTAAGCTGATTAAAATTTTACGGCTAGACTAAGCCGTTAAATTTTTAATAGCTTAGCGGCTTAGCCAATAAATGGCTGCACAACCAAAATTTAGCAGATCGGCCAAAATTTAGGTTGGGTGCATCGTATTAGACAATAATACTAGCCAACTATAATTGATCAATTTTATTTAACGTGAGCGACTAATCTAATCTAGGTGTCATGAGGCTCTGCATATAAAGTAGTGATAGAGCGATTAGCTAACCAAAATTCGTCTTCTAATTAATACGGCTAGTAGAAATAAAATAAGTTTAGCTACATTTTTCAATAGATTTATATATTTATTTTATTTTATGCCGCTTTATTAACAATATAACAATATAAGTAATACTAAATGATCATTATAATTACTAATTTTTTTTAAAAATTAAATTTCTAACTCTGGATAGCAATTAAAAAGTGATGAATTTTCTTTTAAAAATAACAACTCACGTACCTGATTTGGATCAAGTCAATTATGTTTATCAGTTAGTAAATTGCCAGCATCTAAGAACAAACACTCAGAAGGAACTGATGTGGCAGGTATGGCTAGATATATTCTTGCTTGAAATGCAAGAAGTAGTAATGATTTTGCATATTTGTACCAAAATAACAGTGGGTTGTCTTTTTCATATTCAGGGTGGTCCAAATCATACTTGGGAACCAAAGGCAAACTATCATACAACTGTAATTCAGTATTAAGCGATGATTGTGCTACAGTATCACTATCATCAAAGAACTTACTCATCATATGTTCTTGTGTGTTTTTAGTTAAAGAACTAGTAGTGGTACAAGTATGAGAATCAGATGATTCAATAATTTGTATACGAAGTAAGCTGATTGTTTCTGTTTTTTTTTAATGTTTAAAAAACGTAAATTTTTAAATTGAGGATCCAGGTATGATGCAATTAATCTAGCTTCTTTTGACTCATTCCAATGCTTTGATATTGACTGATTAACCGCAATACAAACTTCTTTAACTTTGGATGTAGCAAGCTTATCATAAACAGTATCAAGATGCTGAAAAAGCTTTTGAATTGTTGAATACATCATACCTAAAGTAGGATAATGACTACCTCCCATAAATATGATTGATTATACAAATGGTTAGAGAAGCATAGTCAGTTCATCCAGGCATTGCCATTCATAATCTTCTAAAAAAAGATTATGCAATGAATCACCATCATTCCTTACTTGTCGATTAACATCTTTTTTGTAGTTGTTGAGCCAATTGGTGAGCAGGATACCG